TAGGTTGCTCCGCTATTCCCATTGTTGAAAAAAAAACACACAAAATAAAAAAGGGGGACGGTACTCCAAATGCTCCTGTGATTTTTGTCTTTTTAAATGTTCAAGTGATGAAGTTGAGGAAGTTTTGTACTTAACTTTCAATCTATTAATGACATTTTTTTATTCGTCAGATAATTTAATTTGCATCCCAAGATAATTATAGATTATCCATTAATATTAAATTAAACATCACAAACGCGGACCGCGAAGAGGACACCCATACACAGAACGTTACATGTACAACTTTGTTTCAAATTACACGGCAAAATGCATATTGACATTGAACTTAACATTATAATTGTGTATTTTTTCGTTTTTAGTTAAATTCCTTTTAATATTTAGTTTTTATAAGCAAAGTTAAGTTAATATATCTTATTGTTATCGAAGATCGAGGCGCATGAATTGTATTATTTGTAAAATCAAGATCAAGATTGCCATATCTTGTAATGTTGAGTTTATTGAATTATATGATCTCATATGTTCAGAGAAATAAGAATTGAACAGCGTATCGCCGAAATTTGTGTATCATTGGTTTTAGAATCCAAATATTGATTTTCGTAACATAAAGCGTTCTTTTATCGACAGTTTTGAGAGCATAATACATTTGTAGACTTTTCACCAGTCGAAGACCTATATAAACATCTTTGGTTGATTTTTATCGCTGTTGTGATGTTGTCTTGCTGTCGTATTGTTGATTGATACACACGAACACACTTATATTTTTGAATCCGTCAACATAAAAATTGTGAATATAAAATCAATTAAAGAAAGTTTGAAATTAAAATACTAGTATATTTGCAAAAATACATTTTGATGAACTTGAAAATGGAAATCTTAGTTCTTCGCCTCTCTGTCTTTGTCACATATATATATCTAACTATTTTGTTTTCTACTTTTTCAGATAGTTATTGATAACCAAAAAAATATATGCTATGTCCATTCCGGATTTCTTGGCCACAATAACGATGCCTTCTGCTATCAGCAAATCCGGCAGATTGGTCCAGGACTGGAAAATGATTTCCCAGCACACTGTTTTATACTGGCTGACAGTATCTACCCAAATGCACCATCTCTTCTAACTTCTAAGATTTAAAAGAATCTACGGATATCGTTCGAAGACCAAGACTTGAACAGAAGAGAAAACGGAAGTTTAATCTATTACACAGAAAAAGAAGGGTGTATGTCGAACACGTTATGAAGGAACTAAAGACATTTAGGGTAATTGGTGCGCTTTACAGACACCCGAGATGGGAAATGTCATCTATTGTTGAGCTGTGTGCTGCCCTGGCTAAGAGAAGAGCTGATTTGATTAAAGACGATTACAGTTAATAAATATACTTGCTATTGAATATGTTTAGATACTGAAATAAATCTTAGTTTATGTAATTAGAGGTTGTATCTGTTTGAATTGTTTTCTCAAAGTTCACAAATGGGTTGGTTTAGATTATCAACTTGTTCAATTAGTATTGTCCATTGACTTTAAAATTCCTATTATCGTTTAAAAAGATATACATCGTTCTACTGTTTAATTGTTCATAAATATGTCAATAACAATACCTTAGAGGAAGCGGGGCATCTCAAAATTATCGAATAACTTATAAAAAGTTAGATTATAGAACAAAGAATGGAAACGAGGAATGTGTCCAAGAGACAACAACACTTATGGCTAATAGATAAGAAGATGTGGAAAGAGTGCTAATGAAACAACTCTCCAAGTCACAATGTATAAAAAGTTAACGATTATATGTCAAAATACGTCCTTCAACACGGAGCCTTAGCTCACACCGAACAGCAAGCTATAAAGGGCCCCCAAATGACCATTGTATCACAATTCAAACAGGAAAACCAACGGTCTAATCTATTTTACTAAACGAGAAACGAGAAACATTTATCAAACATACCAACAAACGACAGGCACTATTCCTGACTTAGATTCCTGACTTTAGCCAGGTACATATAATATATGCAGCGGGTTTGAAATTTTTAACAGGCTCCAACTTTAACCCTTAACCTGATACAGCAGTATAACATTACAAACAGAAAAGACGCACTATAGAATATTAATTGGAAATGGCTTTACTCTTAGACTATACAAAAATGAATGTAATATGAAATCGTGTACCAGTGTATGACTGACATCTCTGCAAATTTACTTTTCATATGTTGTAATGTCCCTTGCTCTTTCTGCATGAAAGAAAATAAACTTTTAGAAAGCAAAAAAAATAATAATTTTGCAGCTATCAGCTGCATTTTCTTTTATCTGTTTTGACTCCTTATAATTATAAAATCTTGATTTATTTCCTTGCAAAAACTTCTAAGTTTGTTCGATTTCCTGTAGTTTGTGCTGCAACGCATTTAAAAAGATTGGAATTGATGACAGGGGACTCTACAAAGATCCTTTAGTAATCTAAATAAATGTTCATCAGTTGACATATACAATTGCACATTAACGTAACAACTAAAATTGTAAAAATACAAATGTCGTCTTCACCAAAAACTTAAATAATAAATTTGGAAAAAAAAGTATCAAATATGTCAACTTTGAATTAAAAGATACTGATATATTTCATTTTATCTATAAAAATCGTATTTTTTAGCTTACTGTCAAACAAATTTAAATCTGTCAAACAATCAACGACTTACCATCTTACAAAGTCAGTGATTAAGTTCGTAATACATAAGTTTTTACTTGTTTAACGGTCTAAAAATTATTTTGGGAAAAGAAAGACAATCCAAATTAATAATTTTCACTTTCATACGTACAATGTATGTTGAAATGACGCTTGAAAGGTATAAATAACATGTAGTTGACGCTTCATACGTACAAATACCGTTGTTAAGTAACATTTAATGTATAAAGTAGATACTTATGTCGCTTTTGTTGTTTTCTCAAGTGAGAATTATGAATAAAAAAAAATTAGTCTGTTTTACATATTGAATACAATGCCGAAATCTCGACTATGGGAACCTTTTTTCTTGTCTTTAATAAACGTTGGAGTATGATGGTTTTATTTACTGTAAACGAGGTCAAAGTACTGTCTTTTGATAATATGCGAATACATAAAATCTCCATGAACGTTGATGAAATACCAAATGTTATATGAGAGTCACCTGGATAAGAATCTGTGAACACTTCTTCCATGATGTTTAACACATAAAATACATGTGAATCATGTGAAATCAGGGGTAACTGTTGTTTATTGGTTTTCCAACTGGTTTGGCACGAGCTCCCATGACGAGTCAAAAAGCGTGAATGGTGTACACAGTAATGAGACCAGTGTATCTTTGATGCGTTTGGGTTGATCCCACTGATGGTGGACGTTTCATCCCCGACAATATCACAAGTCAATGAAAATAACACTTTATATTTTTTGTGTCAGGTAGTAAATTCTTGTAGTGACCTGACATATCATTGATTCGTCACTTGTTTCGTAGTTTTCCTGCATGTTCATAAAACTTTAAAATCAGCCGAAATACTAAGGGTATGTCCTTATGCATAGACGGCCAGAGTTGGCACTACTTCTTCAAACTTTTGGCTTTGAGAGCTCTTAAAATTCTTTATTGATTTTGTTTTCCCAATTGTTTTGACTCGATCGCTACTGATGAGTCTTGTGTAGACTATACGTCACATGTCGGAGAAAATAAAAACTTCGTATCTTTGATAAGGTTTTACTAATATTCAAATATGAGTTTTATTTTAAATCCGGTGAAATACTTTTAAATTGGCATGAACGCCAAAAGGAGCAACACTTGATGCGTTAAAAAACGATTTTATCTTTTCTCAACATTTTGCCAAAACCTTGACAAAAGACGTTTTCTTAATAAAAATGACCCAATCCTATTATTTTGAAACACATAATTGACCTTATTGGTGAGAACTGTATCTTACAAATCAGAAATAAGATATCTGATATATGGACGCCTTATCACAATTTCATCATTTATTTAGTTTTCACTAAGATTAATGAGGTTAATGAAATATGAAGATATTGTAAAAATTATAAAATGAGACCATAACGGAAAAACACAAGTCGGAAAGACAAACAAAAGTTCGTTAAACAGAAAAATAAAGATGGAGCACCACACATCCTTCTATGAAAAGAGTAAAAAAAACCTTTGCATAACCAGGGACCCAGATGGTCGCACGTTTGAACATGACATCCGATGATTAGACGCATACATTGATGTCTTAAACCAGAAGAGGAAAAAAAAAACAATCGATGATCAAAACAAAAAAATTAACAATTCTAGATCATCTGTTAGAGAGATATTCTATCATTGTTTTAATATGTATAGCTTAATGTTCCTTGATGTCCTTCTCGGTGTTTTGGTTTTTATTCATTTTTTGCATGACTTGAGGCAATTTAGAACTTTAACTAAATACAGTTAACTCCTTTGTCAAATATAGAAAACATTTGGCTCGTTATGTCAATGTTTAATGTTGCATGTTCAACCAGGTGGTATGCTGAGTAATTGATATGTTTATGTTTTAATGTATTCCTATTTATGATAGAGAAGTAGAAACAAATAAAGGAGAAAAAACACTTGATAGATTTGTGTATCAGAAGAGCTTTCCATGCTTACCATATCGAACCTAACCTAAGAAAAAAAAAAAAAGACTAAGCACGATTTGAACACTTGAATCCCTTAATAACACGTATACCTTATACATCTTAAGAAAGCTAATAGACTGGGCAACAAAAGTTATGTATTGAATATAGTGCACAAATCCGGGTTAAGGATAATGGAGCGCCCGCATACCGAAAAAGGCCGAACCTAAGAAAAAAATACATGACAGGAATACACAAACCCATACATTGGAAAGCCAGGATTTATAACTTTACAAAAAACTTAAGGAGGTATTTGACCAAAAAGAACCTTACAAGAATAACCAACTATATGTCAGAATTTAAATTTGACACACACGTCAAGTGTAGATAAGAAATAAATAAAGAATTACAAAGATTTTGCTTGATTGTCTTAATAACTAGGAAAATCGAATAAAAAATTAAATCAATAAGGAACAATTATTATTATTGACAACTGTTACATAACAGACATTAAAAAACGTGAGAATTAAAGCACAAATGTTTTAATGTTTCTCACAAATATATGAAAAAACTTGTGAACATTGAATGTCATTCCACTTATACGCAGCATTATTATTCATATGCACACAGTCTTCTTGACCAGCATTATTAGGTTCGCCTGGGTTCCAGTCAGTATAGGTTAGATATGTATTATCGGACTCCCAGATAAAACGAGATTCTATTACAGAATCATGTGCTCCAATCCATATGTGACCTGTGTTCTTATCTAAAAAGTAAACACCAACCGTGTATAATATTTGAGAATAACGTATTGAAATGAAACAAGACTGAAGAATTCAGTTTTCGACAGATTATAGTTAAGCATTGTTACTTTTTTTTTTATTACGGGTGTAGTGTTGTGTTGTTCTTTGTTTTTTGTTTTTTGTTTTTTTGTTTGCATCACAACAATAGATGAAAGGCAATTATGTTTTACATAAGCGCAATTAAACAATTATTGTTCACTTAATATCAAAATTAATCTCTTTTAAACGAAAATAATAGCATGCAAACGTAAAAGGAGTATGTTTTATGAAAATACTTTTTTTTATCATTTCCAATATACTAGTACCTATTTCTGTAACTCAATGAACGCATTTTTAATACGGAGTATATATCTCCCAGTTACACAATATTCTCGGATGTGTATTTCCTATCATAATTTCCTTGATAAAGGGTTGCTGCTCACTAGGAAGCTATTAAACCAAGAGTTGAAATCATCCATCGTAAATTTTACGGACGCCATCACGAGTTGGTTGACCGTTATGGAATATCTGTTTCACTGATGACCACAGATATGTTCCAATTGTCGTAACTACAATCCCTTCCCCCCTTTCCCCTAATGGGACGTACTGAATAAGTATTATCCCAAGGTTTGTACTTACATGAGCACCACGACGGGTGCCACATGTACAGCTTTATCCTTCCGCAGCACCTGAGGCCACCCTCAGCTTTTGGTGGGGTTTTGCTCAGGTTTTAGTTTTATATGTTGTATTTTGTGTACTATTGCTTGTCTGTTTGTCTTTTCCTTTTTCAGCCATGACGTTGTCAGTTTATTTTCGACTTATGAGTTTGAATGTCTCTTTGGTATCTTTTGCTTCTCTTTGTTATCTTCGATTATCGGCGTAGATACAGTCATAGTCTTTATGATGTTTCTATAAATCACCTTTCATATAGAAGCAGTTGAAAATATTTCCCAACAGCACAAAACCATATTCGTGACTAGTAGGACAGGAGCTGCTTATTATTCCGAATCACCAGAAATCTCACCTGCGTTGGTGGTTTTGTGTTGCTAACTGGATAGTTTTCGTAGAAGAGTTTTATGGACATGTGTGTGTTTTTGTCTTTGATAATAAAGGTATTGTCTGTGTTTGTCTTATATTTTAATGGTATTTTAATTGCCTACTATCTCCTTCTTTTCTGTTATTTTTGCATTTCATAAAAATCTTTGTTTTGATGTTCGACTAATAAGTCTCAAAACTTCCATATATATCCATTGTTGGAACACACTTATGTTATTTACTCATATCTATCAAGTCAAGTGACGTTAAGCCGGGCTGTTACAAGCAGCGAATTCTTTGAATTGCTAGTTATTTTACTCCATAGTTTTGATAAATCTTATTCGTTTTCGATTTGAAGTTGTTAAGAATCAATATATATTCACTCTAAGATAACAATAATTATCATTTTATTTTACTAGACAAAATAGATGATTTAATGCAAAATTAAATTAGTGATCAATAGGGGTAGATAAGTACAAGTTAGTAGTTTTTTTATATTGTACTTACCGGCTGTTCTAAAATTTTTGAGGAACCAACTCTCAATAGTGTTGTCAATTTTTACAAGGAATCCTCCCATTCTATGACAATCATTCTACAAAAAATTATCAAATGCAATGTTAGCATTAGATGAGTATTGTATATTTTCTATAATTTAAAAAGCTTTTTAAATTGATTTTTCTTTTTTATTGGTAAGTTGTGTAACATACGCAAACAATGATTTCAACATGGCCGTTTTCCACTGCAAATTTGACCTATATTTGCTTCATTTTAGCGGATGCTACACGCAATTGCTTCCATCTATAACATAATGAAAATAATTTACTAAGAAATCAGCTAATTATTTATTTTACCAGGATTTGTCGTCAACTAACAAAAACCAAACCATCCTTATTTGACCATATATACAGCATTTTGTTGGTAAAAAGTATGATTTTTTTCAGATCGCTATTTGTTTAGTTCTTCTATTAGTTTATTACCCATAACTATTTTTTACGGTAACATCCCAATTATGTTAGAAGATTTAAAAGTTGATATTTATTTTCCTTTGCCTCAAAAATCTTTTTAAGAGGCAAATTACTGTCAAGTACATTTAATTGAATCCCATCAATTTTTTATGATAGTTTTCAAAATTGTGTAATTTTTTAGTAATTTGTTAACACTCATGTAATGATTGTGCCATAAGTCTTTCAATCATTTGTTTTTACATTGAATCTCTTAAATTGAACAATGAAAATAAAATCGGTGGATGTGTTTATTACATTTGCACATATCAATGGGATTACATTTGAATTGCAATAGAACATATCATTGAATAAACTATTGATTTCGACGCCAACGTCAATAGTCAATATACAGAAACGTAAAGCAATGCACATTGCATACTAATCATCTCACTTTTGCATCATTCCATGTCTTTTTGAACCTGAATTGAAAGTAATAACAGATCCCCATAAACTGTTCCCATCCGGAACCACAGGTTATCATCTTGCCTGAAAAAACCACAGATATTTAAACTTCAGTTGGTTTAAAAAGTAAAATAGCAAAAATAACGAACTCAAAGGAAAATTCAAAACGGAAAATCCTTTACCGAATGGCAAAATCGAAAGCACAAACACATTAAACGAATGGAAAACAACTGTCATATTCCTGACTTGGTACTTAAAGACATTGATTTAGAGGAATAAAACATGTCTTTATGAATTAGTATTTACAGAGAAGAATATATTTTTCGCAAGAATAGGACGAAACTGCATGTAGTAGTTTTCACTACTATTTGACATCTAAAACATATATTATTCCAACACTCAAGTAATTGTCATATAGTTTAAAGACACAGCCTCAAAAACATTGTTTTAGAGCAATTAAACATGTATCTATGAAATAGCATTTAAAACCAGAATATATTGTTCGCAAGAATAGGATGAAACTAATAGTTTGAATTACTTTTTGAAATTTAAAAAATAAATTATCACAACAGGTAATTGTCGGGTACAAGCATTTAGGACGGAAACAGGATGTGCAGTAAATTATCAGTATGAAAAGCGGACGTACTTGATTAAATTTCTTCCTTAAATTGCATTGAGCTAGATGATTTCTAAATTTGTTCAATTATTCGTTACACTTGAAAGTTATTTCTTTCCTTGGTTAATAAAATAACAAAATTAAATACGAACACTAAAGTAATTCTACTTAAATACAGTGACATTGCTTTCCTTATTATTTTGTTTGCGGTCTGTCTTTTTCAACGACATTGTTATGAACGAGTTTTGTTTGGTTAAATTCGTTTTCATTATATTGTTGTTTAACTGTCAACATATTTAGCTCTTAAAGTTCATTATCAAATCATTTCTGAAAGAAAACTAAGTTGTAAGTTTGCCATGATCATCTACAATGTATTATGATACCTGGTTCTCCAGGTTGTCCCTTTTCACCAGTTTGTCCTCGTGTTCCTGTAATTTGAAATGAAGACAAGTATTAGATACACCTTGAGGGCGTTAGCCTAAATGGGTGTATCTATTTAACACCAACATAAGTATTGTCAATGCAGAATGATCTTAAAGCAGTAAACAGTGAACGCCAGACGAGCGATTTGTCTGCAAAAGACTCATCAGTGACGCTCGAATAAAAAAAATACAACAGGCCAAATAAAATACGCAGTTGAAGAGCACTGAGGACCCACAATTTCGAATGGTTTGCCAAATACAGCTGAGGTAATCTATTTTTGGGGTAACAAATCCTAAGTATTTCGAAAAATTCAAATTTTTGTTAACAGTTAAATATTATTAACAATAATCGTAATTAACAGTAATTGCAAGTCGTTGATGTTCTTCGCTTTCTTTATGTGGATTTCTATAATGTCAACTGTCATTACAATTTAACAAAGAATAATTAGAATTGCCAAGAATATTCATAATATTGAACACTGGTATTGGTAATTGTGTTCCTCTTTGTCATTCATTCAAGGAAAATATATTATTTGTCATATATGTGACGTATGTGTAAAAGAAAAAAAAGACAATGATCTCTCATTTGATATTAACTGAATATTGAAGATATTTATTTATAATACTTCTGATATTTAGAATATATTTTTGGAAACAGGAAAACAAAACACATCCTTGTAATCTTCAATTTAACATTATTTTAATGTTCTCACCTGTTTGTCCTGTGTTGCCAACTGGACCCTTATTTCCCATTAATCCTTTTTCACCTTTGATACCTTTTCCGCCATGTTCACCATTTAGGCCAGGAAGTCCATTTTCTCCCTTCGATCCTTTATCGCCAGTTGTTCCTTTTTTGCCAGTCAAACCTCTGCTTCCGATAGGGCCAACTTGACCAGCCTGGCCTATTTCCCCCTTTGTGCCCTTTTCACCATCCATTCCCTTGTTTCCATTTGGACCTTTTACACCAATTGTGCCTTTCTCTCCAACTTCTCCTTTTCGTCCACTTAAACCTACATCTCCGATGGTACCTTTGACGCCAGCCGAACCTTTTCCGCCTATTGCACCGTTTTCACCCCTTGGTCCTTTATCGCCATTCAGGCCTTTTTCACCATTTGATCCTTTCGTACCATTTTGTCCTTTTCCTCCAATAGGGCCTATATCGCCGAGTTGTCCCTTACTGCCAGTTGAGCCTTTGTCTCCAATTTCTCCCTTCAGTCCTTTATCACCAGTTGGTCCTTTTTCTCCAGTCAAACCTCTTCTTCCGGTAGGTCCAACTACACCAGTTATGCCATTTTCACCATCCACACCTTTGTTTCCATTCGGACCTTTCACACCAACTGCGCCTTTCTCTCCGACTTCCCCTTTTCGTCCACTTTGACCTTTATCTCCGATGGTACCTTTGTCACCAGCCGAACCTTTTGAACCTATTGCACCCTTCTCTTCTGTTGATCCTTTCGTACCATTTTGTCCATTTGCCCCTATTGGACCTATATCTCCAAGTTGGTCTTTACTTCCAGCAGAGCCTTTGTCTCCAATTTCACCTTTTAATCCGTATTCACCGTTATTTACCTGTTCACCTTGCCTTCCCCTATCACCAGCAATGCCTTTATGACCACCAGGACCCTTTTTGCTTCTAGAGCCTTTTTCGCCTTTAGAGAGATTCCAATGGTCATTGCTACCTTTTATAAATATGTACAACATTTCAACATATGATTAATTTAGTAATAATTCTATTATATATGTAGATACAACTTTTTATCATCGTGAAATACTACAGGTCCAACAAAATAAAGAGTAAATGCTGTCCCTTTATGACCATCGACGTTAAGCTAAGGGTTTTATTATATTATATATTAGCAATGCCTCGTTAATTTTATCGTTTAATCGGTTTTGACATGCTGGGTACACGTCTTCATACTTGACACATACACTGGGTTTTCTAAAATTGTCTGTGGGTTGATAAATACAAGCCACTTCTATCTTGTCTATGGCGTTCTTCCTCATCTGTCTATGTTCATTTTGATATTTCAAACTGATATAGGTACATGTAGCATTCCTCCATATCTGTACAAATTCTGACGTCATGTCTAAAAAGCTTCACCACTAGTCTTACAGATATTTCCTGATTTGATTCCTTATTTTTATTTTGTTTAGAACATTTCAAAATTGAAAAAGAAAGAAGATACCAAGTTGGCATCCGAAAATCAAAAAAGAAGCTATTAAAAAAGACAACACCACGACCAAAAGATTAATTACTCAACAAAATAAAAAAGGAACAGTACACAAAATATAAAGATTTTGCAAATATTTCAGAATCTTAAACTCGACGAAGATGCAATATATTGATGGCAATCCTGCACATTTATCTATAATTCACCTCTTCAGACAATACCGTCAAGTTTGATGTAGTGCACGAAATTAAGCGAATATTAATGCTATAATATTTCTGACACAATGTTAAATCCCGTTAAAAAGTCAATGGTTCAAGTCAGGAGCCTGTAATTCCGTCGTTCTGGTTGGTTCATGTCTGTTTTCCGCATATTGTATTGTATAAATTATGCCGTTAGTTTCCTCGTTTGAATTGTTTAATATTTTAAAAGTCGGGGCCTTTTATAGCTAACTATACGGTATGAGTTATTTTCATAGTTAAAGGCCATACGTTGACATATATTTGCGTTTTAATTCCTCATTTAAATTGAAGTGGATGGTTGTCCCATTCACAATCATATAAAATCTCCTTATATTTATATATTTTCATCCTGTCACATTTATTCTAAATAATGGTGCATTCTAAATTTTACTAAGTGTTATGCATGTTATGTAAGGACGCTTCTAGAAGATAAATTCGTTAACATACCTTTAATGTATCTTTGTGGCTGCCATGTCATTTAATTATCAATGAAGAACCAATTTATATATATAATTAGCAACACAGGGTATTCAAATAACATATTAAACGTATTCAAATTTAAGCAAAATGGAGATACATTTTACACAATAATTAAGGAAAAAAGTCATGCATTATTTGTATTTTAACTAGTGTTGTCAAATCGAACAGTTTTGCCTAACCGGTTACTCGGATTATCTTTCGACCGATTAACCGGTTAACCGGTAGTTGAGTTGAATTTTAACGGCCTTATTTATATTATCCTACAAATGTACGTTTTCATGATATTACGATAACTTGAAGTTTATCTTTTGGCATTATAAGGCTTGGCTTGGAGCATTCCTGATGAAGTTTTACTTTTAATCATTCAATACTACAGTATCTACTATGAAGTTTGTAATAACTGCAAATTGAGAAGATAAAAATATTTTTGATCTCGTCGAAATTTTTATTTTTGTTTCTAATCTAAAAAAAAAATGTAATGTTTAAAATTGGTGAATGTATTTTACCTGATAACTATTAATAATTGTTATAACAATACCTATTGTATTTTATTTGTAGTTATAGGTTAAATGTATATTTATCTCATGTTTGCATAGGCTGAAGACGCGCTTATTAAATACATGTAGGATAACTATGTTTACTTTAGATCTTGCCCCGAACTGATAGACAAGTTGTATTTGTGCTAATTAATTTTATGAAATTGGAATGTTTTCAAGGCTAACAACAGCAATCACTATACTAGACAATTGATCTGTAAAATTAATTACCACGACGATCATTTTAAAATTCAATAAAATCTATTAATGATTTTAATACACATTTATATCAAATCTATCAAAATCGAAAAAAAGTTCCGGTTAACCGGTTAACGTTTTTGGTATTCGATATTCGGTCCTTCCGCCGGTTAACTGGTTAACCGGTTAATCGTTGACAACACTAATATTAATTTGTTGATTACCCAGTGCTGTTAAATTGATTCTTTATTGAGATCAAAATATATGGCAACCAAAAAAAAATGCACAGTTAGCATGTTTAATTTATCCTGTAAACTCAAACTCGCCTTAATTTACAAACATATATATATCACCTAAGCTTATGGTACATTAAAATAATTAATATATTTAAAAAAAAAAATGAAATTATGATCCAAATGATTATGTGTTCTAATTACATAATCGATCAAACAAATAAATAAGTCTTTCCAAACCGGAATTATTCAATGCCAGTTGTTGTATCTGCTTTTCTAGTTCCGAACTCTTTTCCAAATATTCTGAAATATAAAGGAAAAGAGTTTATATAAACATAACATCTAATGTATGTTCTAAAGAAGGGAAAATTCTATTTATTTTTTAATTGAAATCAATTACCTATGACAAGCGAGACGATTTTTATTTTGAAATTATAAATTCTCCACACCTTAGCAGTAATATACAAACTTCACCTGCATATGGGATATACATTTCCCAATTCATTTGGTATTCAAGAGCTTGCAGCTGCTACTCAGGCTTTATAAAACGTAACCAGTGTCTGAGCAGAAAGTTGATGAGCCAAGGTTATGTCAAAGAACGGCTCGTCGTTTTTCTAAAAAAAAGTTCATTGGAAGATACCAAGACTTTGTTGATAAATATTCCGTATCAACTTCACAAATAATATATCCTGGTCTTAAAGTATAGATTCTAGTACAGTACTGACGTTGTTTACCATCTTAATTACGTGTTAAAGTTCCCCCTTATTTTTTTGTCTTTGTAAAATTTTAACCTTTACTGTTTAGTGCATTTTTGATTATATACTTATGATGTGGCTCGGTACTTATACATTGCGTCATTGTGTTATTGTGCTATGATCAGTTTTGAATTCTTGTCTTTCATTTTTGCTTATGTACTTTGTCTAAATGTTATTTTGTGTTTCTTTGTTGAAACAGTTATTTGTTTTTATAGTGATTAAGATTATATTACAATGTTGACTGCCGTACCCCAATTTTTTTACCTATCATATCTGTTTATTTTGCTCACACATTGGTGTCAATATAATGGAATTCAATGCGACTGTCATACAAGTGAGAGGTTTAGCTAGCTATAAAACCAGGTTTATTCCACCATTTTCTACATAAGGAAATAAAATTGAGAATGAAAATGTGGAAATGCCTGTACCAAGTCAGGAATACGACAGCTGTTTTCCATTCGTTAGATGTGTTTGAGCTTTTGGTTTTGTCATTTTATTAAAGAGGTACTAAAACGCTAAATTCATGTTTGCCTTATTCTAAAGTTCGTAATAAAGGTTTAAGAATGCATTGTCATTTGAACACCTGAACGATTTAGTAAAACACGCCACTACAACTCACTGCTTATACCCAACGGAAGTGACGCACAGTGGGTCACCCTGATCAAATTCGTGTGTTTTATCGTATTGTAAACAGATCACGGCTTGCTAAGTAAAATAACAGTTTTGATATATATCGGTGACCATTTTTACATTGAGAATATTGATTTACATTTATCGGGGCTTGATAATCGCATAAATATTTTAATCAAATGTTTATAATTAGAAAAGTATTGAAATACCAAAAGCACAAATCAACCTTTTTTTCTGTAAAATATTAACATGTGCATCCTAAAGTGGCGGGAGAAGCAGAAGTAGAACCTTGCATGTTATTTTCCATGGCGGAAAAACGGCATTCAAAATAGGACACTCCCAACGCGTGCTTCCATAAGACGACGTTGGGCGTAACTTGTTGATTTGTTAAATTAAACTATGTGGGTTTTTCTGAGCTACAAAAAAATAAAAATTCTCTTACTTACTTACTGGAGGACTTTAGTTACAGCAGCATTTCAAAATTATATATGTTTATTCTCCAGATAATGTGAAGAATTGAGTACTGTCAGTCACAGTAATCTGCTTGACTGGTTTAGTAAAAACTTGAATATGTATTGATCAAGCTATTTCATTAAAAAAGAAATACTGGATAGACTTGTAACAAAAACAAAATTTTAAAATAGAAATCAGTATAAGTATATATGATTGTCATAGTCCTTGGACCTTATGTAAAAATATTGTTATATGTATCATATATATACTAACGTTATAGCAGATCCCAGCATCATAAGCATAGTCCTAACTACGGACGAATGTTGGATAGAAAGTCATAGTACAAAAAAATCACAATTCAGTGTTTAGTTTATTTTATTTTTTGATAAGAAAACTTTTGTCAAAATAATTTTTGTATTTTTTCTAGAACTTTCATATATATGGCAACTTTGTCAACAAAATATGTTCTGAAAAAATCAATAATGAAAAAATAATTGTAAGGATATTTTTTGTCAAAGTGGCTTGGTACTTGAATGGTTTCATTATGACATAGTGCCAATAAATATATCACAGGCCTATTTTATAATATGTAAATATATTCATTTTTTTGTTTCTAAAAAATAAGATATAAAACCTATATCGTAGAAATATAAGGGCAATAGAATTATTTAATAAGGTAAAATATCTAAGAGCATTTAAAACTATAACAAAAACCACTGATATAAAATCTTTAGAAATAGGGGTGTGCATTCCTAAATTACTTGTGTTCTAAATCCTAAATGTTGTTATCACACCAATTTTTTTTTAAATAAAAAAAAATATATCATACTGCTTTTAAAATATTGACCTTTTCTTTCATTTGAAATTTAAGCAATGAAAAATAAATAACCAAACGAGAAAAATATCAATCCTCTCGACCACCTTTTGATCCTGGTAATTCAAACAGTCCGTACTTTGACACTACTGATAAGTAAACATCCTGTAAGTTAATAAAGATCAAACAGTATCTATTATCCCTCCACTCAGGTAATTAACAACTTGGCCATGCAGACATGCCACCTGTTGTTTATTAAGTGATAAACTTTATAGTTTGATAATTAACATTATTAGAAAGGTATTGCATATACCCAATTTTTAACTTGCAATTAATTATTATCATTACATGGAACAGAAGCCTCTACCGTCATATCTTGTCAAGATGGTATGCAACTGAACTTTACGTAAAAATTTGTCTCAGTTCTACGATCAGGAAGTGAATTACCCCAACCCCATCCCCCCTTTTTCTATTGAAACACGTTATAAATACACTTCCTTTCTGAAACATATTTTTTTCCTTTTGACAAATTGGTCATAATGAAGACTGAGCCTTGAAGGGTAGCGAAATTCATTGGCAGTGCTTTAAATCAACGATCAGAAGAAAGTTCATTTATTAAATAACGTTTAAATAAGCCAAAGAAGTGCCCCACAGTGCATCACTTCCGTTAGATTTGGTCTTAGTTCTGTTTCCGAAAGTAGCGTTGATTGGATTTTCCTACGGTAAAAATAGTTGAACTTCACACGCCTATATTTACTCTGTAATTAGTGGACCAAATTGCATTGGGTTTTGTGCATATTTTATCAATTAGTTCGAACTTTTAGATAAGAATTACTCGTTATGTGCGTTTTAGTACCTCTTTAAGGACTTTCCGTTTTTAATTTACCTATTTTTGTTGTTTTACTTTTTACCAGGTTTGTTCAAAAATAAAGGCAAAAGATACAAAAGGGATATTCAAAGGTATTAGTCGTAAATAAACTGACGACGCCATGGCAAAAAAAAGCACAAAAAGATCCGAATTTCCGTGAAAACAATATGTCCATTCCCGCATCACGAAATTATCAAATCCTATATTCCCAAATTTCCGAATAAATAACTTGCTTTTCCCGAATTCCTGAGAATTTAACAGTTCCATTCCGAATTCCTGAGAATTTAACAGTTCCATCCCGAATTCCGCATGTTCTGGAGAATTAAACCGTTCAATCCCGAATTCCTGGAAAAAAATCCGTCAGCACCTAATTTACAGAAAAAAAAACACTTACCTTTTACATGTTCCAAGTACATGACAACGATCGTAAATGAGAGTGAAAAACATATCAACAACATCACAGTTAGAGCTAGAATTAATTTATCTCTTTTTCTGCTTGCTTTACGAATTTTAGCAACTTTATCATTCCACGAATTTGTTTCAATACTTTCTCTGCTTTGAATTTCTGATTTATTCCGGTCTTCATCCTTTAGAATGTTAACCAGTTGAACTTGTTCACTCATTTTCAACTACAATGTTAAGTCTTAAGTCAGTTTTTAAATTATTTTTGTGAATGTTTTACAGGGTAGCAGTAAAATTTCTTTGATATAAAAATGGAAATATAGGTTGTTTCTAATTTATGGAAAGTCTAAACAAAAGTATTTTCCATTGGACGAATTAGGAAATTTTCTTTCGTCAAGTGACACATATGAGGGTAGGATAGGATTATACCGTCAATCGTCAAACGGTCTCTATGTTTTTAGCGTCAAATAAGCGTAACAATACAGCGCTTCTTGTCAAACGGTACTTGTTGCGCAGCTTAAGAATCAAACAATGAAATAATGTTGATCGTTAACTTGTTTTAAACAAAAGAGGGTAACCGTTATTTGTCAAATCGCGTACCTCAATCCCACCCTCATACACCTCTTATAAGACATCTGAGTATCCTCAATTACCATCTTTACATAAGTACATAGATTACGTGAGATCAACATTATAATCCAATGAAACGTTTACAAAAAGGTAATTTCAAGATTTGAATTAAAATACTAGTATTTCGCTATAAACTTATACTGTGTAATCGTATAAACAAGTTTTATGGATTTGATAGCCCTTAACCATAAAAAAGTGCCAATAGTAATTGTCTCCAAAAACGTTCGAGGCCAACAAATTCAAAACGTTGTGTCATATATGGCTTAGAGCATCCTTTCTATTAGGGCAAAACATGTATTGCTGTCCTTTTTATTTTCATCTTGTTTACAAACATTTCAATAACAATTTTACCGTGATAGAAATGTTGAAAGTCCTTTACTTTTATTTGGATGTTAGAACGACACTATTTCATTATATTTCAGCGTACTAGGTGTAAAAGACTTCAGGATTAGAAAAGTAGGTACAACTACTGACAATGAATACTTCCGGTTTAGAAAGACAAGTTCAGTTGTCAAATCAATAAGGTAATTAACACTTACAATCACATGTGTTTGATTTAAAAATAAAAAGATGTGGTATAATTGCCAATGAAGCAACTACCCACAAGAGACCAAATGACGTAAATGTCAGCACTTTCAGGTAAGCCTTACTGCCTTCCACCATGAGCACAACCAATACCGCTAAGAAAGCTATAAAAACCGCAATGACAAAATCTATAACAATTCAAACAAGAAAATATTTTGTAAGTCATTTTGACATTTTCTGTTTTATTTTATTTTTTTCTAAATGGAGTTAATAAGCTTCCTGGTTGAAATGGTAACCATGGCGATTAGGGTATCAACGTCGGCATTAGTTTAATAGAAAGTGATTGCCTTGATGGCGACAAAATGTCAAACAGGTGTAACTTTTAAAGTTAGTTCAAGTTGAAAGTGTATGTCAAGAACTGTTTTTATAAGCTGTGTACATAATTGTTGTACATTAATAACTTTCTATTATAAAACGTCTTCTTTAACAGAAGACTGTAGATAAAATTATATCACATAAAAAATTAGTGTATTGTTTCAGATAAATGACACATATCATTTACGTTGTTTATCTAAAACATGTATATATCCATTATGATTAATAGGTTAATTTTCTTAAGTATCCACTTATCCTCATACTTATGAATAAATTCATGCGTAGTATTTTATTCATTAACTATTTTCTAACGAATATTTTTGTCTGATAAAGGGGATATAATAAAAAAACAAACAAGTTCCATCTATTATTGTATATGCATTGTATAATGATGACGATGGATGGATGTTGAATCTGTCACCCTATCCCGACAAATTATCCTGACTGCGAACATTCCAATCTCCTTAGTGCCGCGTGCTTAGCAACGATACAGCGAATTTCAAATTCAAAGTCTTTGATTTGATCTGGTCGAGGTTCGAACCGCCGAACCTCCCGCACTCGAGGTAAGCACGCTACCAAGACAACACCGAGACAATCAAATTAATTGTTCGTGGTAAATAACACCTTTTCCATTGTTGTTCATCCTAACTTTTCTGTTTTAAACATTGTCTATAACAAATAAACTTCGGTTTACAATATGAGACAGGTGTTACACACATGAAAGAGGACAAAGTCCGTATTACTTTTGAGTTACATTTTAGAAATCAAATAATTACACAAAATGTGCAATACTGCGAGTATCAAATACTGCTTTTATATCTAAATAAGGAAGACAGACTAGACAAGCGGCGTCAAAATTTAAAATGGATACACAAATTGAGCTTGTCAACATTTTACAAACCGAAGACTTTTGAAGCAGAAATATTTTGCAGCATACTGTGTAGAATAAGTAACTTGCTAAAATACATGATATACAAATTAATGATTCAGGCTTTACAGTAGTACAGTTGATTGACCTTAACAGAATATAAACACTTTCCATTGACGCTGAAGGCTTCAAGAGTTTGTCATTGTGACATGTTAATCATTTGTACGTCACCATATCTCCTGATGTTCATATAAAGAAACTCATCATAGATACCAGGATTGAAATTTTGTATTTGCGCCAGACGCGCGTTTCGTCTACAAAAGACTAATCAGTGACAAAACAATCTTGTTGATTTGAAAAAAGCATATGAAAAGAGTTAATGCATTATCTGACTGCTTTTGAGACAAAAAAAATCTTCTTATGAAGCAACCATATAATGTGCAACTTGGTTTTAATATTATCTAAAATGTTTGCCGTACTGATAACTATTGAACGTTTTTCATATGTTGAAAACATACTCTTTCGATCAGTTTAATTGAGGTCTTAAGCTGGCATATCAGTAACTGCTAGTAGTCTTTTGTTAATTTATGTTGATCATTGTCATTTTGCTTAGTTTTTTCTGTTAACTATTCTAACATTGGACTCGGACTTCTTTTGAAATGATTTTATTGTGTGTATTGCTGTGTGTTTGCTTATTCAACATTAGCTAGATGTATAGGGGTGGGTTGAGATCTTACAAATAAAATTGAGACAACAACCCGACCAAAGAGCCACCAATGGGTCTTCAACACAGCGAGAAAATCCCGCACCCGGAGGCGGACTTCATCTGGCCCTTAAACAAAAATGTGTACTAGTTCAATGAAAACAGACATGTTGAACCCCACCGCATTTATTCGCCTGTCCCAAGTCAGGAACCTCCAGCTTTTGCTAGTCTTCTGTTTTTTAATTGTGTTTCATTTATATGTTTTGGAGTATAGTGTGGCATCTGTTTCGCTGGTCTGTTATACATTATTGTTCACGGACCAGCTGAAGCCCGCCTGCGGATGCGAGATTTACCTGCTACGTTGAAGCACCCTTGGTGACCTTGGGCTGCACTTTTGTCAGGTTGTTGTCTCTTTGACACATTCCACGTTTCCATTTCAATTCTATTTGATGCCGGACTGTTATTCAAATGACGAAGATTACACGGGGAAGGGTTGAGTTGTATATTATCAATAGTAACGGAAGCACATATATGTGTTTTTTTTTATGTTCAACACGTGTTGATTAGCACATGGTTGCATACCTGATTTGTTATTGTATGATTTGTTTGGTTATCGTATGTCTCTTCCTTAATAATTTGACATGATAGTGTAAATATTATGTATCTACTGTCTTTTGTAGATTGTCGTAGATTTTGTATTTGTTGGAAGGAATTCCGATACCGACTGTGTATCCGTGTAAAATGTGATATATTTTACTGAGATGGAAGGTCATTGACAGGAGTATGTTGATTTGCTAAGGCTTGATGTTTTCGAGTATATTGTTTGAAGGTTTGAAAAATTAAAGTGTGCTTCTCACTTGGAGAGCTCATTCCTATATAATACATGTGTTGAATTTTATTGACTAACTAGTTTATGTTTGGTTAAGCTTGGCGAATAAGAACATAACTAGAAATATTGTTTATCACAGCGACATGTTTACATGTCTGTCACAACTCATAATTTTAGAAAGTTGTTGCTTTTTGTTATATTTCAATGATTTTATTTGTTTGTTTCCTTTTCTTATTTTTTTACGAGGAATATGCCACTGTGGTTGATTTTGTTGATTTCTGTTTAATATTCTCAAAATTGTTTAAGATTTTCAGTGATTTATAGTTGACAATTTTTTAAATGATTTCCCTATTGTTAAAGATCGTATTTTGAACAATATTAATCATGTTATGTTTCATGTGAATGCGGTCTAAATGAGTCACGTCCACTTTTATTCATATAGGCCTTCTTTTCATATTTCTAGTCTGATGAAATCAATTTTTGTTTAAAGACAAATCCTCAATGGAAGAGCTACTCAAAGGTGAAAAAGGGCTTAGAGGCAAAAGCGGTCCTGGAGATAAGTAAGACCCGTTTGACAGAAAATGTAACGTAGGTGATAAGGAAGAAAAAGGTGAAAGAGGAGATAGTTGGTGCAGCGAGAGTCAGTGGCGCAAACGGGTGACAAAGGTTTGATTGAAGTCAAATCGTAGATAAAAATCTAGTTATGTACTGAGTAGTTATGGTAAAGAATGCTTTTGCTTAAAGCAGAAAACAATATATTTTCAAGATATTTGATAAAAACACTTAAATCATCATTTAGGGCAACTAGTAGAGATTCTACTGATAATTTCCATCATTTTGACCTTTTTATTGATATTATTTTGTCATTTACTATTTTCCTCTATCTGCTGTAGTTTAAGCGTATAACGCAAAATAGAAACAAATCGACATTTACGGGAAATCACTCAAATAACAAGTTGACTAGCAATTTCGACCATTATAAGTGATATATGAATATTTTCATGCTGTTCTTTTTTGCCTTATTCAAGTTTTTTTCTATCTATTATAGCATGTATATTTTTTTTAAATTATAGTAAAAAAAAAGCCAAAATTGGGTGAAAATCGTTTTTCATTTGCTTAAACGTTTTTGAAGAGTCGACTGACTATTTCGACCATTATCAGTTGTTAAATACAGTTACTATTATTCTTCAAATAAATAATAAATCTTCTAAAACGCTTGTAAGTGCAGAAATAATAGCTTTTCTGAATAGAAAACTTGTAATTGCATTGGCATGGCAATTTCTTTGAAAACAACAGTGTCAAAATACAGTGTTGTTCAATCTTAAATATGAAATTACTTTGTTCTACGAAAACGTCAAATGAATAGTTCGAGGATATATATGTAAACAAGTTTGAACTCAT